GCCCAACACAAGTTATAAATTCGGGCACCGCCGGGAATCGAACCCGAGACCCCAGGATTACAAGGCCAGCGTTCTAACCGCTAGACCACCGTGGCGGTCTTGTTATTGTACATGAGAAAAATAATATTTTTTTCAATTAATATTTTAGTTTTATCCATGTTATATTAACAGCGATTGTTAAGGGGGAGGCTAAAACTGCTGATTTATTGAGACTCTCTTTGCAAGCTGTCATTGGAATATACGTAATTAAAAATTGTGTTTAGAACAGAGATTAATTTAATGGGATCACTAGACATGTTAGTAAATGCGAGAGGGTTTATTTGTCTTACAATATGTTGTTGGACCCGTCCTTTTAACGTTACCCAATTCATCTTCGCGTGAAGAATTATCTACCATCTATTTTTGAAACTGGTTACAAAGAGATGTTTTGGGGAGAAATTTAATTTCAGTGAGTGGCGAAAAGTTTTAAGGGGAGTTAATCCCGGAGGGATATTTCACCTTTCTTCTCTCACGCTTTGGGTTCACAAGTTGTAACTTACGTGGAGGGTAACGCGTATCAGCCAACTCTGAGTTTATTTAACAACGCTTCAAATGACAACACTAAACCATGTGGGATATTTTAAGCGTAACCCAAGTCGTTTATTTTCCACAAAACTAGATTTTATATTTCACTTGTCAGTCTGACACATTTTTACTTAACGACTACCAAAAGATGACTTAAGAATATTTAACGATTCATGGTTAAAGAACATTTGGGTCATCACTTATAAAGCCACCAGCCAAGAAAAATGTTAATTTTCTTCTGGGTTGTTGCGCTGTGTAGTCTGCTAGAAGTGCTTGCTTCCTTCACCAGAGCGATCGATCCGATGACGGAGGTAGTATGACCTCTGAAACGTCGGTTAACATCGACCAGACTACACAGCGCAACAACCCAGAAGAGAGAAATCTTCATAGCGTAGATAACTTAGAAAGAATCGCCCTGATGACGGAGGCAGTATGACTTCTGAAACGTCGGTAAACTTCTACAAGACTAGATGGTGCAACAACCCAGAAGACAGAAATCTTCATAGCGTAGATAACTTAGAAAGAATCGCCCTGATGACGGAGGCAGTATGACTTCTGAAACGTCGGTAAACTTCTACAAGACTAGATGGTGCAACAACCCAGAAGACAGAAATCTTCATAGCGTAGATAACTTAGAAAGAATCGCCCTGATGACGGAGGCAGTATGACTTCTGAAACGTCGGTAAACTTCTACAAGACTAGATGGTGCAACAACCCAGAAGACAGAAATCTTCATAGCGTAGATAACTTAGAAAGAATCGCCCTGATGACGGAGGCAGTATGACTTCTGAAACGTCGGTAAACTTCTACAAGACTAGATGGTGCAACAACCCAGAAGACAGAAATCTTCATAGCGTAGATAACTTAGAAAGAATCGCCCTGATGACGGAGGCAGTATGACTTCTGAAACGTCGGTAAACTTCTACAAGACTAGATGGTGCAACAACCCAGAAGACAGAAATCTTCATAGCGTAGATAACTTAGAAAGAATCGCCCTGATGACGGAGGCAGTATGACTTCTGAAACGT